TCCACATAATATTACGAATTCGTGATAGAAATCAACGAAATCAGTCTCCTCAAATTTCATAATCCAATGGTACACAAGGCTCTCCATGAATAAACGATACAGATGAGACGGGAACAAGAAAAACACTAAACAGACATTGAGACAATCACTTGTAGGATAAAACTCCGCTCAGTCAAAGCCTCAGGGTTTGCTCCAGAGGCCCATCATGCTGTAAATATCTTTAACACAGTCAGATTAAGAGCTTCTCGATTGCGTCCTGCATTACACACCAACACCCACATTATTATATATTAACCTAATATTATTTTGATTTATGTTCAAAAGAAATGAAAAATTAAATTCTTTAATTACAATCTGTATCAAGGCCATTCCAATGTTACCTTCAACTGCTGAATTTGCGATTTCAGTTGGCTCCCCTCGTTGCTAGTAACAGAACAGGCAATAACTGGTCGGGTAACTCCACATGCTCGACCAAGAGCTTGCTTAGACGGGACAAAAACATACGGCACATTCTGCAATCACATGAGTCAACAACTCAGTTGCTTCTTTTGCCACTGGTAACAATATGAAGGATTTACTGAAAGACTCCAAACAGAATAACCACAACAACACTTGAAAAAATTTTGAGTTTTTTTTTTTCAATTAGTCATCAAGTGGACAATCACTGCCTGTCACATTTTCCTTATCCCTGACATATTAATATACACACAGATATCATGCTTAAAAGATGCAAAACACCATAAGAACCATGAGAATTATATATTGCTGCGGCATCCCTTGCTGTTATTGTTTACCAGGCGCGACTACAGAATGGATATTATAGCCAAAACATTACTGTAACGAGAATCAAATGCTTACCAAAAATGTGAACCGATTTTAAATCACCACACGAGTCCTATAGAAAATAACCTCGGAACGGGACAAGGGGAATCGTGCCAAAGGGGCAAAGAGAAATAAAAACAATCTAGAATGTGAAGGATTCCTTGCACAACTTGTAACTTAACAGATTTACTAGTCAAATTAATGGTGTCGATAGACGCTCGAAAATAATTATACTTCATGATGTTCTTCATCCTCTAAACTCAAATTGCATGTGAAGCGCAGGATTTGGAAAATTAGAATATTTAATCATAATAACCAACTTATAACGCGAGACAAATAATGACAAGATGCAATCGGATTAAAGCTTGAAGAAATTAGCATGCATACAAGTTTTATTACCTCAAAAAATCCTCTTCTGAAATCGAAATACCACTACCCAAATAAATTATAAATGATACTGTTGCTGCCGGATAAAAAAAATGAACCAAAACTTGTCATTTCATGCACAAGATTATGTTTTGAGAAATGTTACCTCCAAAATTTAAGTGTACGACATCTTTGACTATGAGCAAAGTTGTATATACTTTATCATAAACATTACCCTAGTTCCAAAAATAGTCAACTATCCATTTATCCCATATTGTCAAAGCATATAAACATCCCAACATTCAAAACAAAAATAAAACCAATTCTTCAAACAAGCAAATATTCCACAACCTAAGCAATCTCCACACCGAGAAACACTATCTAAAAGAAAATATCAGGAACATCGTGTGAATTTGAAGTGCCTATCAATAGAAAGTTACCTTATCTTCAGCCAAAAGGGGGAGGTGGAGAAGGATCTCAAGCGGCTCGGTATCCGCCGCCATCACAACAAACTCTGAAATCCCTCTGTTCAAGGTCTTAGTTGCTGAAACAAAATCATCACCAAAAAACCAGAAAAAAACTCCTTAATCAAGACATAAATTTCCAATTAAATAGGCGTAAAAGGTTTGTACACATAGAAACTATGGCTCACCTTCATTAGCACCCTTTTTGAGCTGCTTGTAGTTAGCGGCTTGCTGAACCAAGTCAAGAATGGTGATGGTGAGCTGGGCATCCGCCAAAGGGTAGGCTTTAGGGTTCACAGCTTCTGCAGTCTATTTTCACACATAAATACACGCACAAATTGCACCGAAAAATCAGGGAAAAGCAAGAAAAAAGATGGATCGAACATGAAATCAATACGCTAAAATAAAAGTAGAAAGAGTACCATGATGATAGCAATGAATCCTTGAACGGTATGTCAGCGCTGAGACTGCGAAGATTTTTTTACAGGGTTTTGACAAAGCACAGAAAGAGAAATAGGGTTTAGGGTTGGCTGATTATATAGGAACTGTAATACTTCTCGGCCCAAATGAGAAAAGCCCATGCTCCGGAAAGAGATTTTTTTTTTTTCAGTTTATTTTTTGGCCAATTTACAAAAAATACTAATGACACGATTGGCATACGGGAATGATGTAAAAATAGAATAATCATTCACTTACTCATTTATATTTTTATTATTGGTATATTTTTTAGAACGGAATGATCGTTTCAATAGAAATTGCAAAAATTATCTATATTCATAGCTAGTGGGTGGTTTTCTTATTCTCATATGTTTAGAAATCGATTTTTCAAAAAATAAAATTAACAAAAAATAATAATAAGTAAATATATATATATATATATATATATATATATATATATACTATATTATCATGATTAAACAAAATCAATGTAAAGAATAAATTTCAAATAAAAAATTAAAAAAATATTTTTATTTATTGGTCATATTTAATTAGATATATTTATATAAAAATAAAACTCACAAAAAATGCATTTATAAATAGTTTAAAAAATTCTTATTTTATTTTATATAATCACATTATATATTTATTCATAAATTGAATTATATTATAAAACATTATATTTGACCACATATAGCATAGGAGTTTCTATAATGATACATTTGTATTACTTAATATGTATAAAAATACATATTCACTTATTTATTATATAAGATAGGTGTAACAATACAAATATATGTTTATTAAAACATAGTATTTTTTTAAATATAAAATAATATTAGTATTATAATAAATAAGAAAATAACATTAATATAAATATTAATTTTTTTCTATAAAATAGTGATAATGATAATATCGGATGATAATGTCATTTCATCCAGTCTTATTCCTTCTGCAAACCAAACGTATCAATGACAAAACTTGTTTCATTCCTTTCTCATAGTCATTCCATTTTTCAATCCATTCCATTCATACCAAATTCCATTCGATCACACCAATCATGCCATAAATGAAAAACTTAACACATTTACCTAAACTAATATAAATATTTAAATTAATATTAGTTATTGCAAACACATCGTTAAACAAGAGAGTTACCTTATGAATCTCATAACTGATGTATTCATTCTACTATTAAAAAAAACGCTTTGAATTTTTTAATTTCAATAGATATTCCATATTTATACTTGTAGTTGTGAGGGAAAAAAATGGTCGACGAGAGAAAAGTTGAGATTCCGGAAAAGCGCAATTTGAATGCAAAATGGGAAGCCTGCCTCAGTCTTTGCCGCTTTGCGTACGCTTCGATCGTCGGAGTTCTTCTCTCCATGAGTGTTTATGTCTCATATCCTCAAGCTCTAGGTGTTGTTTTGGTTTCGATATCAAACTGGGTTCATAGCCCGATTGGCTTCATCATCGTCTCGGTGGGCGAGACAGAAAAAGTCGGAGGCGGAGGATCTGACTTGGGAGATTTCTACGGCTTGAGGTGGTCCAGGTCGGCTGATATCTCGACCTTCTTGAACCCGACGAGTTTGGGGGAGGTGAGAAGAGTAAAGAAGGGATGACAATAATGTTTGAGTAGAAATTGGTGGCGGCGGGGCGGATGTCGCTAAAGAAGATAGCGGCGATGAGGAGAGAGATGCCGATAACTTTCACTGGCCAAAGGATATTTTCAGTATATGTTGCGTTTATACTCAGTATATTTTCTGTATATGTTGCATTTTTTTTTTTTAACATAAGATTATCTAACCACAATTGCGATGTTTGGATTTTGTTTATACTTTTTTTTATATATATATTTAATACTTAATTGTATACCTACAATCTTTTATAGCATTGATATGTAAAACATACTATAAGGTCTCTCAGGATGTTAAAAAAAAATTGTACATACTAGATTACAATTTTTTTTCTCAACTAATATTCAGTTTATACTTGGTTTATAAATTGTAACTATGTATATAACATATAAATAGATATATACAACTTACATATCCATAACATATAAGTGTGTGTGTATATATATATATATATATATATACATGCACAATTTACATCTTCATATTATACAATGACAAAATTGACCAAGTCGGCAATTATAATAAAAAGACGTCAAAGCTTAACGACGAGCATCATAATCTTGTGTGAGAGGGGCATCAGAATAATTTAGGTTTATGTTGCATTTAGAGTCAGTACATGTTGCTTATTTTACATAACAATTACCAGCTCAAATGTCCCATTTGCATGCTGCTCTTGTACAACAATCGTACAACATCAATGGAGAGACTGATAATTGGTCTAATCTATTTATGCAACATCAGTATCATAAAGTCTGTAGATTCACGAGCGAAACCTTTTTCGGTAAGCTCTATCAAAACACTATGAAAAATAGACGTCCTCGACAAATAAGAACTTCTCACCATCTTGTCCACACGACAGAGCTAATAAGAACCAATAAGAACCATGGCAAAAACAAAACATCTATTCACAAAGTACTCAACAACTAAAACATAAACACATGGCAGAACTGCAAATAATAATGAAATAAAAAAACATTAACATGAATATCCAACACAACATAAACCATAATCAACAAAAACAAATTGCTAACTCGTCGTCTCATATCAATTTCCACATCAACAAAAAGATCTGCTACTATATCAAACATAAAAATAAATAAATATCAAATAAACATTGAAACAAATTCGGTCGAAACTAACCGCATGTTGTTGCTACTCAAAAGTTGGGTTGTTGTCGTGTTACTAAGACTCCGCCGATGACCGTCCCCGAGACGACCCCACAGCCCCATCCGCTCGTCTCTGAGGTGCTCTACAGATCACTGCCACCAGTCGTTGTTGCCTATGGACAAGCCAAGCAAACCATTGCCACTCGAAAGTGGGGATGCCGTTCATCTCGTTATGCCGCCTTGGACAAACTCCGCTGATGTACGATCGTCGCCTTCTGTTTCAGCTGCCGAAATCGCCAGTTGTCGCGCTACTCCACCCGCCGCAAAGGATGACCTAAGAGAAGGTGGCAGAGTGATCGATTTTTGGCATTAATTGTGCTCTTATTTCTCAAAGGGAGCATTTAACACTTTTCAGTCAACCAGACTACGATGATAATCAAAGAATCATGTACTTCAATCATGAGTATTTAACACTTTTTACCATGGGATTCTTCAACCAACCAAGCCAATAAATAAAAATAAAAAAGGAGAGAGAGAGAGAGAGAGAAAATTGGAGATGGCATGATCGTGGATGTTTTACAAGTTTTTGGAAAGTTATAAAAGTGAAATTGCATTAAATTAGTGTAGTTACCAATTGTATGCAACAATCAAAATAATCATCATTACATATGTAAGTTAAAATTTAAGAAAATCTTTGTACCAAAAAAAAAAAAAAGAAATTTAAGAAAATCTGATATGTATGAAATATTCATGGCATATTTTATGTATTTACAAATAGAAATTTATGTTAATATATATGCAATATTTTATGTTTTGGTTAGTGTGAGATAATTTTCCATCCATAAATTTGGAAATTAGCAAACTTGAAGTGCATATCGCTTGAAGTGGAAATTAACCAAACTAGTGCTGAGTCTGTGCAATGCGCGGGGTGCAAAATTTAAGGCTATTTATCTAGGCTTATTATTATATTCATGAATAAAGAAAAATGTAAGCTGGTTTTTGTAATTCCAAAGCATTAGTATCGATTTTTAAATAGTTGACATTTTAAATAATATAATTTGATATTTGAAAAATCATATTTGATGTATAATTCGAAATTAATTAGGAAAAAAATCATATTTCATAGATAATAGATTATTTTTTTATAGTGACCAAATGAGAACTAATTTTAATATCTAAATTTGAAATTCGATATTATAAATGATTTTGTATGCATTCTGGTTTTCGAATAAACAGTGAGAGGAAATTTGAATTCAACAAAAACGTAAGGCTGACAGATTTTATGACATTCTATTGTTTTGGAAAAAAAAAAAAAAACAGATCTTATGACAATTAATAATAACAATTAAAACTGGTAGAATTTTGGATTTTAATGGATGTCTGATTTTTTAGGCAAGAAATTAAAAAAAAATGAAAAAAATTGTCGAAAATAAAATCATTAATGGTTGTTAACTTTTTCTTATTACTCTTTGGTAATAAATTGTCTTTATATATATAGACTAGATTGGAGTCGTTGTGCATGCACAGCCGGCCCTAGTTCAGTCTATAATTATATCTAGTATTTGTAAAATTTTTAAAACACACTTACCCACATTTTATGGAGCAACCAAAATGCCACATATTTTTTTGATTGTTCAAAATGTTTTTTACAAATATTTTTTTTTAACAATTTTTTTTACCACTCTTTTGACTCATTTGTTTGTAACATTCAAACAAATTTCTCAAAATAATTTATACTATAAACCATTCTCATTCCTCAGTTTATTTTGTAGGTGTACCATAAAATTACCAATTTTTATACCCTATGTTTTATTAGGTTATGATAAAAAGTGACCCAATTTATTTTGGCGGCTCATTTTGGCCCAATATGTATACATATATTTGTACTTGTCTTAAAGGAGAGAATGCCCTAACGTGTTCTGCTTTGTCAAAGTGCGTCGTTCTCCTCGTATTCTCCAGTTCGCTGTTCATCACTTGTCCCCAAAATCATGTGCGATTTTTAAAAACTGGCAACGATTTTACCATCTATTTTTTTGTTGGTAACTTTTGATTTAAAAAAGAGTCGGCGATTTGAGGTAAAGCGGCTGCCGTCGCTTCTTTTTTTTTTTTGTTCTTCGCCAATGAACTTCCGTTATTTTTCGATTTTGTTCGAAATTTAAGCTCTGTATATTTTGTCTGAGTTATTAAGTAAATCGAGTTCATAATTCATAATACGGTCAAAAGTAAAACAAAAGATCTGTTTGG